TACATGATTTCTGTCAATTGAACTCATTATACACAAAAGAATCTCAAAAATAAAATTTCTTGAAAAAAAAAAGTCTACAAACAAAATATCGATTTCATTGTAACCAAATTAGATGGCACAAAGAAATAAAATAACATTTGTAGGGTGTTTTACTTAACTAGTTTAATTAAATTAACTAAATCAAATAAATTAGTTAATTATAATAAATATACCTATTCTCCCCAAAATATCATTATATAATGTTAGGTTATATATATATGAGCTCATAAATTAGATAAATTAATATGAGAAGCAATAATAAAATAAAAAACAAAGTAAATTAAATTTTTTATTATGTAAGACTAAATTCAACTCCTTAACTAATTCACGTGTTAATGAGAGAAGGAATGATTCCAAAAAATTAATGCTTCAACAATCTTAAATAAATAAAACTGTTGATGTTAATAGCTAAATTGTACTAAAAATTTTTTGTTTAAAATCTCAAACCAAATTCTTGGCTTTTCTATTCTTATTCTTACCTTTTTCATCTCTCTTTCCACATCCTTTTCCATCAATAAGCCATACGCCTCCCCACATACAAAGGCTGACCTAGAAAGAAAACCTGTATTTCCCACCATTCGATAGGGACCGAGGTATATTCTTCCATCATGCGCTTTAATTAAATTTTCCAAGTATGTTGCTCCTAGTTCAGGACAAAATTGGTAGTATATAAAACAAGAAATATCACGTCATCTTTCATCACATGTGAACTACTAGTATTAAAAAGATTTCATTTGAATATCGTGCGCCAACCTTTTGGCGAGATCGTGACACCTAATTGAATCACAAATGCCGCTTATCAATTAAACAACTTAATAAAAGCAAACATCACATTTCGAAAAGATTAACTAAGTGAATAAAACAAAATATTATTTATGGTCTCTAATATAAGAGCTCATTTAATTTTTATTTGATCCTAAATACAAAACTTTATTCCGTTTTATCTTTCATATTTATACATTTTTTTAAACTAGTTCTTATAATAATAGTAGTTTTAACTAATACATTTGATTAGCAACTATATTTTAGGAAAGACAACAAATATTTATTACAAATAACTAACTTAACTAATTTTTTTGATCTACTCAAATTAATTAATTAGTTTTTATATCAAGTACTGAAGGTAGTAATATTTTTCTTTGCCAATTTATTGCAATTATCCTCCAAGACTATAATTTTTTCCTGCTTCTTTTTTGTCATGTTTTTTCTTGCTATGTTATAGTATTATACATTTTGGCTTCTCCGAAAATATTAAGAAAATTTAATGTAAACTAAAAAGCGTGCATTCAATGGCTGCGGCACTGGAAAGGTTCCTAGTGATTGAATTTGATAGTAAATATTTTATTGATTGATTGTTTACAAATTAAATGTTTATGTCGATCAGCGTTGACATCTGATGAATATTCTCATCATTTCTCACCAAATTACAAATTCATTTTTATGTAAAAATAGACTCAATAATATTTTGAAAGACATCTATATCAATAAAAAAAATGTTTTCATATTAAAGAGACAGGAGTTTCAAAATTTGGTTCTTCAATTTGCAATTGTGCAGAAAAATGCTTAACATTGGTTCATTCTGTCTATCATATATTTCAAATTACAAAGAATTTTGACATAAATCTTAATTGTATTAAAAATTAGGTCGTCAACTTATTTAGAATTTTTTCTTTTATACAAAATGAGTTTAGATAAATTGAATCCTGATAGTCATTTCAAAACTCAAAAGAGTATTTATTAAAATACTGCGAACCAATTCTCACATCGGCAACCTAAGTTATAAGCCAACTTTTTATTAATTTGAATCAACTTAAGTTGGGTACTTAGAGTTAAATAGAGAAATTTATGTTTATCTTTGTATTGTCCCCATAAAACTCAAGTATTCAGGATGTCTTGCATTGCAAATTTACGCTTGGGCTGCAAAACTTGGGTTTCGCCCTTCACAAACACAAGTTTTCTGCGTCCCGTAACGTGCCAAACTTGAATTTTACTCTATACAAGCTGGATTTTAACGTGCTCGGTTATACCCTACTTTTCGTTTCACATCAATTCATTCTTTCTTAGTTTAATAATTTGGACTCACAAAACTCTTTTAAATGATTTTCTCTTGATTAAAATACACTGAACCCAGGCCTTGGTGTTGAGAAGCCTTCAAGTTTCATGGAAGATCAGAAAACATAGGGTGTAGCTTTTGGAAAACACAGTTTTTAAACACGATTTCACTAATAACTACAGTCATATATATTATTCTAACAATTTTTATCATTTCAAACTAAGGGCATTAAAGTTATTACCCTTCAGTCTTCATTACATCATCATAATCATCCTACCAACCATAAATATACCCATCAAATCATTTTCATTGCATGCCGAACATATCAGCCGCCTGATTTTTTTTTTTTTTTTGCCCCTTCTCTTCCTTTCCATCAAAACTGAACCTTCCTACCAAACAGGTGCTTAATGCATCATAAATGCATCGTCGGGGATCTCCATGGGCACAAATCATTTGCTACCAATTACATGGGTCCAATGAATGAGCAAGCTTCATTTTCTAACCATCGCTCCAGCATGTGCGCACGTATTCTAAGTTTGACTGATTTCTGTGGACCCGTTATCCGAAGTTTTTTTTGGTTTCTTGAAACAGTTTAAAAAGGCTTTCTCTTTCAATCCACCTCGTCGTCCCACCAAAAAAACACACCTCACCCGGGCCCCCCCTTTTATCTCCTTTAGATGAGCCAGCACGCCGAAGTTCTTGATCACCTAGCTACTCGTTTTACTACACCCTGAAGCTTCCACCCACCAAATCCTGCCGAAGCAAATGCCTGTAAATCAAATGTTCGATAAGAATCATGTTTGAGACACCAGAAATAATAAAGTAAATACAACAACTGAAGAAATATTAATAAATACTTCCCCTTTTTGTAGCAAACATCATTTGCTGCCAAACATAGACAATAATACAAAACTATGAAAGTTCAACAAGGCATGCGTATTTATGCACGTATGTCATTGAATCCTTACTCGTAAACATCCCATTCAATGATTTACTATCCAATGAAGTCGTTATCCAGTATGCTAAGTAACTTTATTATTTTTCCATAAAAAGTACCCTAAAAAATATGTTAAACTATATAAGCCAAATTATTTGTGCACAACATAAGGCAAGAAATTTATTATTTCATCAAAATAAGGTTTTCAGCCTCTCATTACCTCCTTTCTTCTATGTTCTTTTTACATGGCAATGTCATTGTACAACAGTGACTGAGTGTATGTATGTATTTATGAAAAGAAATGACTAGGATTTATGTTGCATCTTACCATACGTCACATGCGCACCTCAACCACTAGGCCGAACCCAAGTTCCAAACTTCATTTATTATTCATACATATGCACTTATGAATTACTGTTTCATCAACAATGGAGGGCGACCATCGCCAAATTTCATCCTACAAGATTTTCTTTAAGTCACCTTGTTGCATAAACTAGTCAAGCGCTAATGGAAATACTTGCCCATGGATAATGGTACAGAGTAGGCAAGTAGACCAAGAATCAAAACGAGCATGCAATGCAGCATTATCAGTTGATATATATATATATATATAAATAACAAAGTATATGACCCAAATATCCTCTTCTTTTTTTTTTTTTTTTAAAATATCAAGATGTAATTGTCTTAAGATCTGATTGTAATTGTCTCTAATTAAAAAAAAGCATGTTGTGAATTGATACATGATTTCTGTCAATTGAACTCATTATACTCAAAAGAATGTCAAAAATAAAATTTCTTGAAAAAAAAAATCTAGAAACAAAATATCGATTTCATTGTAACCAAGTTAGATGGCCCAAAGAAATAAAATAACATTTCCTAGGGTGTTTTATTTAACTAGTTTAGATAAATTAACAAAATCAAATAAATTAGTTAATTATAGTAAATATAACATAATCTTTCTAAAATATCATTGTATAACGTTAGGTTATATATATATATATGAGTTCATAAATTAGATAAATTAATTTGAGAAGAAATAATAAATGCAAAAAACAAAGTAAATTAAAAATTTTTATTATGTAAGACTAAATTCAACTCTTTAACTAATTCATACGTTAATGATAGAAGGAATGATTCCAAAAAATTAATGCTTCAACAATCTTAAATAAATAAAACTGTTGATGTTAATAGCTAAATTGTACTAAAATTTTTTCTTTAAAATCTCAAACCAAATTCCTGGCTTTTTTATTCTTATTCTTACCTTTTTCATCTCTCTTTCCACATCCTTTTCCATCAATAAGCCATACGCCTTCATACGCACAAAGGCTGACCTAGAAAGAAAACCTGTATTTTCCCATTAGGCCATTAGTCGATAGGGATTGAGGTATATTCTTCCATCAGGCAACTTTAATTAAATTTTCCAAATATGTTGTTCCTAGTTCAGGACAAAATTAGCAGTATACGAAACAAGAAATATCACGTCATCTTTTATTATATGTGAACTATTAAAAAGATTTGATTTCAATATCGGGCACCAACCTTGTTGGCAAGATTTGATTTCATAAAATGCATCGTCGGGGATCTCCATGGGCACAAATCATTTGCTACCAAATTACATGGGTCCAATGAATGAGCAAGCTTCATTTTCTAACCATCGCTCCAGCATGTGCGCACGTATTCTAAGTTTGACTGATTTCTGTGGACCCGTTATCCGAAGTTTTTTTTGGTTTCTTGAAACAGTTTAAAAAGGCTTTCTCTTTCAATCCACCTCGTCGTCCCACCAAAAAAACACACCTCACCCGGGCCCCCCCCTTTTATCTCCTTTAGATGAGCCAGCACGCCGAAGTTCTTGATCACCTAGCTACTCGGTTTTACTACACCCTGAAGCTTCCACCCACCAAATCCTGCCGAAGCAAATGCCTGTAAATCAAATGTTCGATAAGAATCATGTTTGAGACACCAGAAATAATAAAGTAAATACAACAACTGAAGAAATATTAATAAATACTTCCCCTTTTTGTAGCAAACATCATTTGCTGCCAAACATAGACAATAATACAAAACTATGAAAGTTCAACAAGGCATGCGTATTTATGCACGTATGTCATTGAATCCTTACTCGTAAACATCCCATTCAATGATTTACTATCCAATGAAGTCGTTATCCAGTATGCTAAGTAACTTTATTATTTTTCCATAAAAAGTACCCTAAAAAATATGTTAAACTATATAAGCCAAATTATTTGTGCACAACATAAGGCAAGAAATTTATTATTTCATCAAAATAAGGTTTTCAGCCTCTCATTACCTCCTTTCTTCTATGTTCTTTTTACATGGCAATGTCATTGTACAACAGTGACTGAGTGTATGTATGTATTTATGAAAAGAAATGACTAGGATTTATGTTGCATCTTACCATACGTCACATGCGCACCTCAACCACTAGGCCGAACACAAGTTCCAAACTTCATTTATTATTCATGCATATGCACTTATGAATTACTGTTTCATCAACAATGGAGGGCGACCATCGCCAAATTTCATCCTACAAGATTTTTTTTAAGTCATCTTGTTGCATAAACTAGTCAAGCGCTAATGGAAATACTTGCCCATGGATAATGGTACAGAATAGGCAAGTAGACCAAGAATCAAAACGAGCATGCAATGCAGCATTATCGGTTGGAATATATATATATATATATATATATATATATATATATATATATATAAAATAACAAAGCATATGACCCAAATATCCTCTCCTTTTCTTTTTTTTTTTTAAATATCAAGATGTAAAAGCATTAGCAGGTAAACATGGTCATTCTTTTTCTGGATGAGTATCCAACAGGGACAAACACAAGCATATTGATTTCTTGACTCTCTTTAAAATTAATTTTTCTATGAAAGATAGATACCAGCTGGGCGGTTGAAATGAAGGTATAAATTGGGCATCAGACCATACCACACCACAAGTGTCAAAGTTGAAGTATATAGGATCAATATTACAGGATAATGGCGAAATTGATGGGCATGTTATGCATAGGATACAAACAAGCTAGGTAGTTGAAATGAAAGAAAGTAGCAAGAGTCATTTGTGACTGCAAAGTACTCACTAAGCTTAGAGGGATGTCTCACTTTCGATTACCTAGCTCTATGCAAATAGGTTCATCACAGGGATAAAGGCTTGTTAATGTATGTGGCTAGGTATCAATGCTTCATTAACGAAAAAATTTTAAGATCTTAAGTTGAAGTTCTAGATAAGATCAAGGCATTAGGAGTTCTTTGTTAGCACACGGTTTCTACCACACTTGAAGGGAAATTTTATTCAACCCGTAGGGATGGTAGAGATGAGAATGTTTAGATGGATGTGTAATTATATAAGAAAAGATAAAACCTGTAATGATAGTATAAGAGGACAAGTTAGCATTGCATCTATTGAGGAGAAAATGGTAGGAAATCATTCATCATCTACAAAAAAAGCCATTGGAGGCACCAATAAGGAGGGATGAGCAGATAGCCTTTAGCCCTATGAAGAGAAATAGAGGGAGACCAAAAATGGCATTTAAGGAAATCATCAATCCAGACCTCATACATAATGGTTTAATGGAAGAGTTAGCTTCAAATAGAGCACAAGGGCATTATGCAATCCATCTAGCCAACCCTACTCAGTGAGATAAGATGATGGCTGTTATAGTAGAGTTGAAGTTCTAGAGTAATAGAGCTCCAAAGATAAAAATATAACCCTCTATGCTGGAAGCTTCTGGAATTGTTTAAATTTTTTTTAAAAATATGGCTTATAAGCTTATCCACGTAGTAGTTCTAATGTCCGTACGGGTGGGTGGGTAGCTGAATTTTAATCCCAAGATTCAAAGGTGATCTCAAAGCAAGCTAACAACTAACTGACAAATAATTTAGCAACTAAGAACAAAATTTATGACACGTTTATAGATAACAATTTGGGGTAGCATAAAGTTGGGGTAGCAAAAATGAGGATGTTGAGATGGATGTGTAGTCATACAAAAAAAAATAAGGTTCAAAATGAAAATATCAAAGCAAAAATAGGTATGCTGCTTATCAAAGAGATAATAGCTGAAGATCACTTGAGGTGATTTGAGCATGTGCAAAGAAGGCCATTGGAGGCCGGTGAGAAGAATAGATCAGACAGTATAGAGTCTCATAAAAAAAGGCAGAGGAAGACCAAAAAGAACATTCAATGACGTCATTAAATGAGATCTCCTGATCAACAACATATCTAAAGATTTAGTTGTTGATAGAGTACAATGGCGTCGTGCGATTCATATAACCGATCCCACCAAGCGGGATAAGGCTTGTTGGTGTTTATAGATAACAATTTCTATAAAAGCTTCCATATACTAACTCCACAACTATCACTCAAAATTAAAACTGTTCTGTTGATGCAAAATTGTACACAGATTTTAATTAACTACAAGATGCACTTAACTTAATCCTAGACTAGAAAAGATCTTTTATGACATATGTACCATTGGAGAAGAGCTGCTTCAGTGTTCAGCTTCTGAGACAGATACTTAACCAGATGTTAATGCCATATCACTGACACAATATTTAATGTGCATAAAGGCTACAGTTACTAAAGTCCAAACCAGAGAATATAAGCTCCAAAAGAGCATCATTTCATCATGTATTACGAGATTTATAATTGCCTCCTACTGCCATCTAGATCTTACCATCACCCAATAAGACAAGCCCGATTATGACCCCTGATTACCTTAAGAGCCTAAGACTAATAAAAATATATAAATATTAAACGTATATGCTAACTCACTAAACTTGAGAAGCATCACTTGATATTTTCTTATTATGTACAAGGATCTTGGCGTGTTCAAAGGCAAGTTTGGTTTGGTTCGGATTGATTTGGATGATGTTAAAATGATTTTTTTTAAGTATAATTTTTCTTATTTAAATTTTTTTAACACCTTAAAGAATGTGCGTACAATTATGTAATCTTTTTTTTTTTTAAATACAACAATCTATATTCTTTCATTTTTCAAATTTTTTAAAATCAAACACTTCAGAGCAACATATTAAAATTTTAAACTAAAAAGGATCACATATTTAATGAATTAATTTTCACTGGTTTAATATGTTCCTTTATGTGCTAACTGATCTTAAAGGGGTACAGACAAAAAAAAAAAAAAAGGCTGATTTGGCTTTTAAAATAGGGCTTGAAATGATATTTAGAATTTTAGAAAATGTAACTAAATCTAATCAAGCTTGATTCGGTTTGTTTCAGGTTCCAAAGGGTTAAAACTGAAACCAGAACCAAATTAATCGGTTTGGCGAAATTGAAAACCAAACCAAGCCTTCTTTCTGGTTGGTTTTGATCAGTTCGTGTTGGTTCAGTTTAGTTTGGATCGGCTTTGAACACCCTTGCAAGGGTCATCCCTTTTCATTACATTCTCTGAAAAATAAACTTTGCATATTGTAACAAAACATCACTAATTAACAGATAATTACGATTATATACAGTGATTTACTCTCAGAAGAACATATCACTATCTGCCGCTTTGTAAGTAATGTAACCTAACCTCATCCCAAGATTTCCCAGCAGCCTCGAGTAGTGCAGCGTTACATGTCTTTAATTCTACAGAGGAACCGGAGAACATTGAGGCCGCCTCCTCCCATCCCCTGTTATGTCCCATACACCTGCCATATACCCAATGATAACAAATGTGTATGATACTATTAATAAGATTTTTTTTTTCCCAGAATAAGTTTAAAGATATTAGCTCTGCAAAACACAATATTAATTATAAATACAATAATTAAAAACATAAAAGACCAGCTTCAGAAAAGTTTGGGTGCCTTGAGCTTTCTCAAAAAGGAACTAATTAGGATGAGACGCAGACCACATTTGATTACAACCAAAGGTTTAGGGTGAGTACAATCCAGTATTGAAAACGTTGAAAGTAATACCTCATATAGACATTTCAGGTGTCATAAAAACAAGTGCAATGTCCATAAGGAAATATAATCTTTTTTTTAATTTCCATTGACTGTTAACATCAATGTATGACTTCTCAATCACAAGAATCATAAGAAATAAGCGATAATAGTATCAATCACTTGACGCATGATCACAGCCCCACCATTTTTTGTGTCCATAGTTTGTCCATATACAGCCAGGCCAAAAAAAAAAAAAAAAGAGATATCTGTTTTACCGTAGCCGTAGTTGGTAATCTCCACCTTCGGAAGAAGGAAAATAATTCACATTTACCCTGGAAAGGTTGCATGGTTAAAGATACTCACATTATAGTAAGTATTTCATCCCTTGAATATTTACAAATAACCTTTTGTAGGTGCTCTGCTGTTTGTCCATCCATGGCTGCAATTGAATAAAAACTAGAAACAAAATGAACTTCAGCTTCTAACAATTCACGCACTTGTTCTTGCATTATCTTGAGGGTCTCCTTAGTTCGTGCTGCATCGCTGCATCAGAGAAATCAATATAAAGCTTAAAAAAAAAAAAAAAAAAAAAGCTATGGCAAGAAAGTTCTTTACAGTTACTTCCAGTAACAATCACAGAAGAACTGCCATAAAATTCCTAACCTAGACAAGATAAGTTCCGGAATCCAACCCAATTGTTGAAGCTTGCGAGAAACTTTCAAGGCATCCACCTGCCCAGATTTACTCAGAGGCCGTTCATGATCTGTAAAAAGTAGATTTTCTATTTAGAAGCAATGCATCATACTTTCAAAATCTTGATCTGGCTAGGCTGCCAGACCTAAGCACAAAAACATTCACATGCATACTGAAGTTTGAGACTTTATGCTTAGCAAAGCTAAAAAATGGACAAACAGAAACTAACAGTTGTGCTACTTAGAAGCAAAACATTTTGGTTTTCAATTCTGTAATGAGATTGTTCCACTTCATAACGTCAAGCACCTTAACAAAATGACCATAGCCGTACTATATGGTATGAGAATTTAAGATCAGAAAAGCCAAAACATGGGACAAGAAATCTAAGAAATTCTTGCTTGCTCCACCTTAATTTGCTTCCAATCCTAAAGCGGGAATGTTCTCCCTTCCTAAACTGAAGTCCCTAAAAAGAATTGATTCTAACAAATGCATGCCTTAGTACAGAAACCGAGGCATGGACAAGATGTAATGTTTAAATGTAGCTTGAACGGTCATTTTTGTCAGGTAAAAGTGTTGGTTACTATAGTGTGAAACTTCGAGTTTGGAAAGCCCGAAACTTGGAAAGGAAACACAGCTGAAATTTTTACTTGTTTTACTTGAAAGCAATACGATGTTGCTTCCAATCCTAAAATGAGTGTTTCAGCTACCCGAAGTTAAGCATTAAAGAAGTACCACACATATATGGGACATAAACGCAGTTTCAAATGTCCAAGTACTATATATATATATATATATCAGATTCCATAAGGCTTGTATTTCGAAGCACAGGTGCTTCCTAGCCAAGCACCATAACACAAGTCCATATCCAGAAACAAAGTTTTGGAATCCGTAGGTTCAGCTTAATCCTTAGAAAAGGATCAAAGCATAAACTTCCCAACGAGTTCAACAGTTTCCCATAACTAAAAATACCCCGAAGTGATCGATTTTCCCAGGAACTCTCGGCATGTCGGAGCAGAATGAGGCGGCGGGAAACAGACTCCGAGAAGGTCTGAGATGGAGTTTTCTCGTCGGAGACAACTTGGCCTTCCTGCTTCTCAATAACGAGAGAGGATTTGGCGCGAAAACGGTGGTTAGGGTTCCGAACGCAGATTAAACGACGCTGAAGTTGATGACGAGGGCAAATGGGTGGCGAAACGGAGAAGCTGTAAATACAGGAATAGCATATATCACCCAATGTGACATTCATACTGCTTATCCACAATCACCGTCTCGGCCTCAAATCTTTAGTACAGATAGTAGAGTGCAATTGCGAGTGTCTGTCTCCGTCCGCCGTGCGTCCAAACTGAGGAAGAAGAAAAAACCTACCCGTCTTGTAATAACCTTTGGCATATGCACCATTCCGTTTGCTTCCAAATGGGGGAGAGGCCAAAGGCGGACATCCCCCCCAAAATTCTCTCCCACCGTTATTCTCCCCCTTTCTCACAGTAAAATGTCATGCATTTGGGAAATTTACTGAATATATTATTCAAAAATTTATTCAGAGAATGTTTGGATTAATCCAAAAATACTTTTGAAAAAGTATCTTTACGTAAATAGAAATAAAAACGATATTCACCTAAACACTCTCTTAATGCCATGCGCAACTTATATCTACGGAATGAAACTCTTCAATTATATATTTTGTACAAAACAAAAGATATTCACACATATTGCTCCTATCCTATGAAAATGAGTCTTACTTGGTCAAAAAAGCTGTATCCTTTGATAGTTTTGATTAATACTACCTCCAATCTTAATTATAAAAGCCAGTTAACTAATTTGAGTAGATTAAGGAAGTAAGTTGAGTTAGTTATTTGTCCTAAATAAGTGTTACCTTTCCTAAAATATCCTTACTAATAAAGTATATTAACTAGAATTATAATTATTAGAAGGATTATTTTGGAAAAAATTAAGTAAATATGATAGATAAAGTGAATTGGGGTCTTATATTTAGGATCAAAATAAAAGTCAAACAGGGTTTTATATTAAGAATTAGAGGTAGTAAAATTTTTTCTGAGAAATTTCTCAAAGGTAAGTTGTTTCTTAATTATAGATAATGTGATACGGTTGAATAGTAAAATAACGAACATGTGCATGTGGGAGGGTGGGGAGGTGATGCCTCATCTCTTATAAAAATTCATTTCTTATATTTGAAGGAAAAAACTTTTTGTCTAACGAAAAGTTAATTTAGAAATCGATACTTGAATTAATGTTGCCCTTAGTTAGCAGCAGGGTTTTTTTTTTTTTTTTGGGTAACAACGAGGGCAAAGCCCACTAAAAATTAAAACAGCAGGGTTCTTGCTTTCAATTTCAGCATGGAAAATTGTGGATTTGAATCGATCGGATCCTTTTACCTTTTTTTTTTTTTGGTTATACAAGAGGGCAGAGGCCCGAAAAAGGAAACTAAATACTCCCCAGCAAATCGTTTTCGTAAATTCTCCTCAAATGAGTAGGACAAGTGCTGAACAAAGACAACCTTGAGAGCCCATCCTTCGCCAGCGAGTCAGCGAGCATATTCGACCTTCGCAGTATATGAAGTAAGACTAGATCCCCTGCATATTTCATGAAGGATTGAGATTGTATGAGCACCAAGCTGCATGAAGACGGGATTGCCACCTGTTGTAACGCGTTAATAGTAACTTTCAAATCTAATTCTAAAATAACTTTCCTAAAACCAAATTCCCAGGCCAGAGTTAACCCCTTCAAGATTGCCCACTCCTCAGCCTCTTTAACATTGCAGTCTCCTATGAAATGAGAGAACCCCACAATCTGGGAGCTGGACGTGTCCCTGATTGCTCCACAACATCCTGCTGTCATAGTTGACTGAGCAACAGCAGCATCCACATTAATCTTAACCCAACCGTTGTCTGGAGGTAGCCATCCTCTTACATGATCCGATGGTCCTTTGTAAATTGCATTAACCTGTTCTGAGACCTGTGCATATTTTTTCCATGTATTCAAAACCACTATAGCGGGCTCTTTTGGCTTCTGAAAATCATCTTGAAAAACATGTTTGTTCCTCCAGTTCCATAACAACCAAAGTGAGACACTCCATATGAGGTTCCAATTCAGAGTCACACCATTTTTGGCCTCATTAGTGAGGTTCCAGGTCATCCAATCAATTAAGGATAGTGAGAAAAAAAGAGGTAAGTACCTTGGATGAACAAGGCGTAGCCACATTTCTTTCGCATATTCACAGCCCCGCAAAATATGCATTGTAGATTCAACTCCTACATTACACTGAGAGCAATTAGGAGAGCATGAAGACCATCTACTCTTCCATTCTCTAGTAGGCAGCCTGTTATGGAAAGTAATCCATAAAAAGACCCTTATTTTCTCAGCTCCACACCGCTTCCAAATATGCTTAAAACCAGAATCATAAGCATGAGAGTCGGGTTCCTCAATCATCTGATATGCACTCTTAACCAAAAAAGTGCCATGATTAGAATTTTTCCATGTCATAACATCATTTCCTGCAATGGTAATGGGGGGCACTTGAGTCATCAATCTTTGCATTACCTCCTGATCAACCACATTCTACAAGCGATCATAATCCCAAGTTCCAAATTTTGTCCAATCAACCACGTAAGAGTTTTCTTCCGTGGTGGTGAGCTATCGCAGACACATATCTTTAATCTTCCTTCCTTGGAATAGCCATAAATCATTGAAAAAACTTATATGTTCACCATTCCTAAGCTGCCGCTTGATTCCACTTTTAACAAAATCATTTTGCTGACAAATAAAGCGCCATAGTCGAGAATCACCTTTCTGCATGTTTAGTAACTCCTCTTCAGTCCTCAACATATACTTCTATAATAAAACATCAGTCCATAAAGCTTTTGAGCCACTGATCAACTTCCAGACGAGTTTAGCACTGAAGGCTTGATTCATTGAGCACAGCTTTTTGAACTTGAGTCCTCCATGGCTCTTTGGTTGAGTAACTTTGTCCCAGCCAATAGGATGGTAGCCACGGTCTTCATTTGTCCCCCAAATAAAATTTCTTTCAAGCCTTTCCACCTCATAGCAGATACCTTTTGGAATCAGGGTGACCTGCATCGGATACAAGGGAATTGAACTAAGGACTGATCTAGCCAATGTAATCCTTCCTGCTACCGTGAGACAGTTCGCCTTCCAAGTAGCCAATTTAGCATTTACTCTATCAACTATATACTGAAAAGTATCTCTTCTTCTTCTATCTCTGGACAAAGGGAAACCCAAATATCTGCCGATCTCTGCTGTAATTTTCATACCAGTGACATCCATAATTGATCTTCTCGTTGCAGCAGGCACTCTCGGCGAGAAGAAAATGGATGATTTCATAGTGTTAACCTTTTCTCCAGAGGCTGAGCAAAACTAATTCAAGCATTGCATCATGCACTCCACTTGTTCTCTAGTTGCCTCCCCGAAAAGCAATAAATCATCAGCAAAGAGCAAATGCAAGACTTGTGGTCCATTCTTACTCACTCTTATTGGCTTCCACCTATTTTGATTTACTGCATCATTAATGATGTGTGAAAGCCTATCCATACCCAGGACAAACAAACATGGTGAGATAGGATCCCCTTGTCGTAGTCCCCTCTTTGGAGAAAAGTATTCAGTCAAGGATCCATTCCATAAAACATTGTAAGAAGTGGTTGAAATGCAACGCATGACCAGCTCTATGAAATTGTCATTCATCCTTGCATCCTTCATAACACCCCTCGGGTAGCTCCACTTGATTCTGTCATAAGCTTTCTCCAGCTCAATCTTTAAAGCCATAAATCCCCTCTTCCCTCTAGCTTTATTCATAGAATGCAATAATTCCTAGCCCACAATGATATTATCTTGAATGTGACATACTGGAATAAAACTCAATTGATTTGGGGATATGCTCTCATCCATGAAGCATTTCATTCTATTAGAGATAATCTTGGTCACACATTTATAATGAACTGAACACAAGGAGATAGGGCGAAAGTGCTCAACCCGATGAGGATGATCTCGTTTTGGAATCAAGGCAATCAAGGTTCTGTTGGTGTCATCCATTTTTACCAAATTCTGAAACACAGCCTGTACAAAGCGACAGAAAGCAACACCCACCACCGTCCAATTAGCTTGAAAGAAGATGGGGGAAAAACCATCAAACCCAGGTGCTTTGTAAGGACCCATGGCAAACAGAGTGTCATGGATCTCCTTATCACTTGGAATAGCACTCAAGTTTCCTAGTTTGAAATTATCAATATGTGGAAAGTTGGAGATAGTTGCAATCTTGCAAAGGCCATTATCTTCCTCTTGAAAAATTCCTCTAAAAAAGGAATTAACCATTTCCTTCAATTCAATTTCATCTTTTACCCAGTTATTATTATTATTCTGCAAAGCATTCACCCTATTCCTCCTCCTGCGCATACTGGTCTTGAGTTGATAATACCGAGTGTTCCTATCTCCCTATGTAATCCACTAAGATCGAGATTTTTGGAACCATTTTACTTCCTCAAGTTCCAGGTCATCAAGTTCTCTTTGCAAAGTCCATTCAAGACGACACAGAAATTTAGAATGAGGAAATGCATCAGACTTCTGAATACCGCTAAGACGAGCAAGAAGTTGGTTTTTCTTTTTTTCAACCATTCCAAAGACCTCTCTATTCCAAGCAGGAACCACATCTCTTAAATTTTTTAGATTAACCATTAGATCCTCTGACTCAGTCCAATTGTCACGAAGAAAAGATTGAAAGTTATCATGCTTAAGCCACATGGCTTCTAATCTAAAGGGCCGAGCATGAAATCTAGTTGAGTCAAAAATACCGCAACAGAGCAATTTAATACAGGGTTGTGATCAATCGGATCCTTTTACTAGATCAGAAAACATCGTTTTAGGGCTAAGCCCATTCTAAGCGCTTCTGATTTGTGGGTGCGTCCATGGTACAATGATCCTTATAGGATTTAGGGTCTTTTCAGGGGTGTTTCGAAGTGTGTGTATTTTATAAAATTACTTCTAAATTGGCCCCAAAATCATGGTTTTCTAAAAGTGAATTTTTGTTTTGTTTTTAGAGGCCTAGAACTATGGTTTGGGATATATATACACATATTAATTATTAATTACTTTTCTGGTCTTTAATATAAAATTTAATTGGTGAGTTGATATTAGTCTTATATGCAAAATCTATTTTATATGTTTACCAATTTTTTTCTTAAATTAACCCCATTAATATTCTCCAATAATAATCAAGTAGGAGAGGGATGGAAGAAATTAAGGAAAATGCTTAGGAAATTTTAGAAAAAATATATCATATTAATTAATTTAACTAATATCTTTAATTTACTCAAATTAGTTAATTGGATTTTACATTAAGAACTTAAGGAGTATATAATTAATAAATTGGTCTTACATACTA